GGAGCAACCGCCGACTCGAGAAGCTTGCGCTGGTGCCGTTCGCGCGTTTCGTGCTTGAACATGGCCGCCGACTCCAGCGCGCGCTCCCCTGCGCTCGCTCGCCTGAGAACGTCCGTGAGAAGCCTGTTGCTGGATGTCCGGGGCGCGCGTGCAGCTGTCGTAGGTCTCCGTTGATCTTTCCGTCGTCGATCCGCGCACCCTCGTCCTCGGGCGCGCAAGGTGGACGCGGTGGTGGCGCCTGCTTTCGCGGCTCAGCTGGCTCTGGTGAGCGCCGGCCCATTGTCCCTCAGGCTCCTGTGGTGCAAGTTCAGCTGGCAGCCGCTGTTCCTCGTCGTGCTGGCCGCTAATTCGCACAATGTAGAGGCGGGTCCTGACATGCTTCGCCCCTCGGGCACCGGCGCGTAGGTCTCCGCGTCGGTGAGAATGGCCTCGCCGAGCTCGCCACCCATCAGCAAATTGGCGTCGCCGTCCCAGGCCGTGCGGCGCGCGGTCGAAAGCCAGTCTGGGCCGTTAGGCCCCGTGCCCTGGCGCGTCGTCGCGTTGTCGTCCGCGCGCTCCTGGCGCTCGCACTTGCCCTCGGGATCTGCGTCGACGTCGGTCTCCTCGTCTACTTCGGCGCGCATCTTCATCGGCGTCGGTTGCTTACCCACCTTCCGCCTGCTGAAATCAAATGCCGCTTCCTTCTTCGTCGTGTCGTGGTCGCCGCCTGCCCAGGCGCGCCAGGTTGGCCATTCTGGATACTGCGTGATGATGGAAACCTGCTTCTTGCACATGGGGTGGCGGTTGGCTGCCGTGCACTCCGTCTTCTTGCACTCGACGGGCTGGCGGCCGCAGTCGCGCGCGCTGCCCCGCTGTGTCTAGCGCGCCCCCCCCGGCGTGGCTTTTGGGCGGGGGTCGGGCGCGACGATCTGCCACTCCTTGTCGAAGAGCTCGCGTGGAAGCTTCGGGCCCCCCGCCCCGTGAGCGCGCCCGTCCACTCGCGCGGTCAAGAACTGCCTTCTGAGACGCCAGGTGTACGGCAACGGCCGCGTGCCGCACTGCAGGGGCTGCTCGAAGTCCACCTCCGCGCCCCGATGCAGGGGCCGGTGAGCCAGCGACGCGCGCGCCCTGGTCACCTTGTCGTTCTTGCGGCGCTTACTCTCCAGCCGCTCGCGCTGCTCAGGTGCATTCTGGCTGCCGTTCTGAACGATGAACCTCGCCGTGCACGGTGGTGGCGGCGCCGTTCGCCTCGGTCTCTCAGCAGCCAACGTAGCGCTCGCCTTCTTGTAGCCCGCGTTGCACGTGAGGTCGCGCTCGCCATGTTTCCCGAGCCCCATCGCCTGGCTGCCCGACTTCTCGACCATCCTGCCGAACCGTGGGTCGGGTGGGGGCGGATTTCAAAAGTCGCCGTTCGCGAAGTATCTCAGCTGGGCCTCGAACGCAGCCTGCCGCTCGCGCGTGCTGATGCCGCTTATGAGCTCGTGCACCTGCCTTTCGCTGACCCCCCGTCGAACTCGCGAAGTTGCGGCTGCGACTCTTTGCCGACCGACGTGCAGATCGTCGCGTCTGCCTCGGGGGTCTCTCAGGTGCGCTTCCAGGGTCAGCCGAACCAGGTGTTGCCAGTGATCCAGGCTGCAATACTCCTCCAGCAGAGACCAGTGATCCTGCGCGGGCATGTCCTGCGGCCGCTGGTTTGCGATCTTCATTTTCTCAAGGTCCTCCGTCAAGGTCTCCGTCGCAAGGTCCCAGTCCGGAAACTGCATGCATGTTCTGCTCCATCGCCTGTTCCAAGTCGGTTGTCTCGAATGTGACCTCCATCGCCTCCTCCTTCACCTTCTTCTCCCTGGGTGGCGGCGCCCTCCTCGCAGTCGGGCGCGCCTTCGGGCAGGGCGGGCGCTGCGGGTGTAGCGCCGTCCCCGGTGGCGCGGGCAAGCTCGGAATCGTCCTTCGATTGCTCCCTGGAGGTGGTCGTGAGGGCCTGCGTCGGCGAAGTGGGCCCCGGTTCCTCCTTCCTCGTCTTGGGTGACCCCTTAGATCGCCCGCTCGAAGGTCTTGCGGCAGATGTGGCTCTTGCCCCAGGCGCATCTGCAGCGCGCCTTGCGTCTCCTGGGCTCGCCGCAGCACTCGCGCTTGATGTTGTAGCCCTCGCGCGCGAAATCCCCCTCCACGTGGAAGTCGGCCCTGGCGCAGATGGCTCTGGCCCCCCCGCGCAGCTGCAGTCCGCTGTCGTCGTGCCCGGCACTCCGCGGCAGCCGCGCCTCGTGCTTCTCAGACTCGCGGTGGCGCCCAGTCCTGCTGCTGTCGTCAAAAGCCAGACGAACCGAGCCCATGCCCTGACGGCGCGCGAATGCGGATGACATGGGGGTTTCTAACAATATCTCGGCACGAATCCGGTCGCACACTCGAAGCATCACGTTTTTGGGCCCAAGTGACTACTGAGTAAGACAATGCAGTCGTCGCGACAACCTCCCTCCGATCTGCTCGGTCTCTCAAAATCCTTGCCAATGAGCAATGGTGCATCCGCCGTCACTACCGGAACTGGGGAGTCACACTCTGAGTCGCCAACTGATCCCAGAATCGAATCATGACTTGATGATGTAGGGGCCCCGGAACCAACGTCATCCGATTCTTGCCTGTCTTCCGAAGCATCTTGGCCTGCAGAATCTCTGCCATCACTAGTTAAACCCATCATAGATGAAGCCGCCCCCGAGTCCATGGTGCCCATGCAGGTCCCCGAGGGCTGTGCGGCCATGAAAGCACACTGCTCGTAAACCACTAGAACGCAACATATTTCTTGCCGGTCGTAGCGGGTTCAGCGTAGTTTCGGCCTTGTCTTTGTTTTCGGGCGCGTAGATTTCACTGTAGATCGTACTCTGATCGCAGTGTTTCGTGTACTTCCCGACGTAGATTGCCATCGGGTCGCAATCTATCGCGTCCTCGTCGCAATAGACCGTTTTCGGATCGCGATGGTTCGATGAAGTCGTGATGACGCGGATGGATGCCAATGCCTGCGGCCGCTGCGCCGCAGGCACGCGGCGCTCGGGTTCGTGTGCCAACCCGCTTGTTGTCGTGGTGGTTCTTGCTGGCGGCGGTACTCGGTGGGCCGCGCAAAGACGTGTGTGGTCTCGGCCAATTTGCCCAGTGCCGTCATCTTCTTGGGGGCCGAAAACCTCGCGGTTGGTCTTGCCTTGGCGCAATGTCTTTCGAGCCTGCTGAAACGAGCGTTGGTCCTGCCGCGCTGCCGCGAAGACTGCGCCCTCGAGCAACTCCTGTCGCAGTTCATGAGCGTCGTCTTCTTGGTCCACGATCACCTGGAGCTGAATGCCGATGTCGTCGTTCTCAAGCGCCGCCATAACCATGGCAGAGGCGGTCTCTTGGAGTAGCTCTCTGAATCCATCTTCGCCTGGATCATCTTCTTCATTGTATTCGTCATTCCCCTCGGCCGCGTAGGTCCTCTGGCGCGGCTGCCGCTGCTTGTTGGGCCTGTTTGGGTTGTCGCGCTCGTGCTTCTTGTCGAGTTGCATGCCGAAGGCCTGCTTGATCTTCTGGTACCCGTACTTGGGATCTTTCGTGGTCGTCGAGGCCTGCGTTCTCGAGGAGGAACCATGCCTGGAATGGCTGCGGGAATATCGGCTTCTTCTCCCCGAAGTTCGGATCGATCGCATTGACCGCCTTCTACATCCAGTCCTCCTCGACCTCGAACGGGGTAAGGTAGTTTCGCATCGGCGTGCGGTGCTTGCTGTGGGTCTCCATCGTGCAAGTCCTCAAATACTTGCCGGCGTCTTCCACCTCCAAGATGTCACTTCTTTCCCTGATGTGCTTGAGCAACTGGCCAAGCCCTTTGGGCAGCTTGGTTACCGGGTTCTCTTCGACGTCGTCCAGCGTGTCGGTCTTGTTGTACTTCTGTACGGCCTGCCATGCACGCCCATGGAGCTTCGACGTCAGTCGCGGGCCGCAAAGGCCCTTCACGTCCTCTTTGGTACCGCGCACATAGAGCTTCACTCGCATATGGTAAGAATCGAAACTGGCGACATCTCCATCCCAGGAGGAACAACCTCGCTCTTCTCTTTCTGGGTTGTTATGACGAGACGGTCCGTGGGGCCAGACTGGATCCGATACCAACCAGACTGTTGACGTTGGCGAGATGATGATTACACTGTCGGCGTTGGCGAGACCGATACTTCGAAACACTGTCTGATGATTACCGCGATAATCTCCTTTTCTCTCAGCTCGCCAGCGTCGTCTTTCTCAATCAGCAGTGCTGTAGCCCCTAAGGGCTGAAAGAAACAAGAGCGTGCTTCAGCACGCTGGTCGCCAAAACGGCGGGCCTGGTAGCACTTGCCGGGGCTCGAGGGCGCCCTTCGAGCCACAACTCCAACGGTAGGAGTAGGCATCGAGAGGGCACGGGGTCGGATGGGTCACTATCCTGAATACAATCACACCCCCCTCCATCGTCGTCCCGTTTCGGGGGACGTCATCTGGCGTCCCCCAACCCCTCTTCCTGCTCAGTGTGCTCGTCGAGGAGGAAGGGGAGAGGAGGAGGAGAAAGAGGAGGAGGAAGATGAGGAGGAGGCGGAGGAGGAGGAGGAGAATGAGAAGGATGAGCAGGAGGAGGACGACGACCAGGACGAGAAAAAACATGGAGAGGAAGATGATGAGGAGGAGACACACGAGGAGGTATGGGGGGAGAAGGACAAGCGGGGTAGGCAAGCCGGGTGCGCCCGCACCAACATCGGACCTCTGCTGGTCCTCCCTTGGAGGGGCGCCTGCCTCCGCCTCTCCCGTTGGCACTCCCGCAAGCGGTACGGAACGAAACGGGACGATGCCCAACAGCAACTGTTGTCCAACATCGACAGCGGCCGCTGTTGGGCAGGCGGCCCTCTGTCTCAGATGGACAGCGTCCGCAACGACACCGGCAACGAGTCCGTTGTGCCGGTCTGGTGCCCCCGTCTTTCCGTACCAACTTCGATCGTGCCGATCCCGCGCCTCCTGGGTCCCTGCGCCGGCCGGGCCCGGAGGGCCTCGGGCGCTTGGCACTCGATGGGCAAGTCGTCGGCGGAAGTGTCCGCGTCCTCGGGTGCTGGGCGTGGCGATTGGCGGTGCGGGAGCGGCCGTGGTCGGAGGGAAGAGAAGAGGGGGATGGCAACATCGAGGACGAAGAGGATGGATGGGGCAGTGATGGGGGGGGGGCGAGGAGGAGGAGAGAGAGGAGCAGGAGGAGGAGGAGGAGCAGGAGGATGAGGAAGCAGGAGGAGGAGGAGCAGGAGGAGGAGGAGGAGGAGGAGGACAAGGAGGAGGAGGAGGAGGAGGAGGAGGAGGAGGAGGAGGAGGGTGTTTTGACATCCACGCTCCGAGACCCCACCTGAAGGGGGTAACGAAGAACTCTGGGGGTGCAGGCGGCGCAGCACTGGCGGACGCAGAAATACGCCCGAGTAGTAAACTCGGTCGGATCGTCTCCTGCACCTGCCAACACAACGCGACGACAATCTCCAGCCACGGAACCGCATCCTGACCCCACGCACCTAGATGTGGCAAAAAGAAAACGGCTCGACAGAAACCCTATCCTCCTTGGGGTGGAGTTCTCTGCCATGTCGCCTCCACTTCGCGCTCTCGTGAGGATTCGCGAGCGGCTTCCATCCTGTGGCCAGCTTCGCGAAGCATTCACCTGAGGTGAACCCCCGTGCCGCCGATATATAAAGGCGGGATCCAGGACATACAAACATCTTCAAGAACATGAGACCCTCCGCTGGCCAAACTCAAGAACATTCGAGGGTGCCCTCCTCCAGTATGAACTGCCAAAACTTGCCATCGTTCGGACGTCCATTCTCCGTGCACTTATCGGCTTCATGTCAGTATTTTCAGGCCAGATGATCCAAGATGCTTCTCGATGGGCCTCGCAGGGTAAACATGTTCACGTCAGAGCGATGCCTGGCCAACCGACCAACGCCTACTCACGGGGCAGTGGCGGCGGGCCTGGCCCCACTCGCGGCTGCGGGGCGAGTTGGGCTCCATCCGGACACGTGCGAGGCCAGAGGGGCATCATCTTTGGCCGAGAGCTCATCAAAAGAGCTCTCGACTCCTCAACGACAGAAAACATACGCGGCGCAAGATACACGGATGCTCCTCGTCCGAAGCGTCCGAATGAAGGGTGGCCCCAAGCTTGGCGGCCTTTTTGGACCCAGTCCCTCGACCCCGAAACAGCTCCTCGGCATCAAGAGAAACATCGGGCTCGAGGTGGGCCGCAACTCTGCCCTCCCGTAGGATGATGATGATGATGATGATGATGATGATGATGATGATGATGATGATGAGGATGATGAGGATGAGGATGAGGATGAGGATGATGATGATGATGCTGATGATGATGATGATGATGATGATGATGAGGAGGAGGCGGAATAGGAGGAGGAATAGGAGGAGGAGGAGGAGGAGGAGGAGGAGGAGGAGGAGGAGGAGGAGGAGGAGGAGGAGGAGGAGGAGGAGGGGGAGACACACAGACATACATGCTCATGGTATCCCTCGTCATCTTCCCCTGGCATCAACAAACAGTTAACAACAGCTTGGGTCCTGAGGGGCAAAGCCGTTTAAGGACGCAATTTCAAAAACATGGGAGACGTGCGCACGTCGTGGAGGAAGGCCCGATCAAGGGCCGATGCGCCCCCCGCCCCCGCGAAGGCCAACGCGGAACCCACAGGGCCAGGGCCGCCTTGCTAGCGCCCAGGCGGGCGCCTCGACCACTCGATCAGGCCCCGCCTCCCGCCGCAGCGCCCCGTGAAGAGACAGGCCCCTCACCGCGGGCATTTGGCCCTGATGGGGGGCCTCCGAGGGGGCTGAAAACCCGACGGTCTCCCACGGGAACCCCGACCGCGCCCGCGAGGTGCGTCTGGGGAGAGTAGTAGTTGCAGGGGCCGAGGTCGGACGAGGGGTCTGAAAAGGGGTCTCGGCGGAAGGTGGCCTGCAATTAACAACTGTTGAAACCTCGCACTCTGAGACCAATCGAAGTTCGTCGACCTCGGAACAACAAATTCTGGCTGGCAGGAGGTGTGGCTTCTACTGTAGCTCTCACTTCGAGTGCACTTTGTCCTGGGGCACAATAACCTACATCTCGTTTGTCAACTCTGACAGGGCCCGATGGAGCCGGCCTGGGGGGCCGCTCCCGCCTTGTACACTCCGTTCATGTCCTTCATCGCCTCGCTGAGCAGCGCCGCCAACTTCTGTCCGTGCGTGTGCGAGAGCTCCACCGCGTACGTGATGCGCCCCTTTCGTCGTGCCCTGCCGCTCCTGCGCGCTGCTGCCCTCGCCCTTGCTCTTGTCGGGCTTGCCCTCGTTCGGCTTCCGGCGGAGGTGCGGCACCAGAGTCGCGAGTTGTCGAAGTGAGTGAGTCATCGTCACGTCCATTCACAAGCCTGCGAAGCCCGTCGCCAAGTCCTTGTTGCTCAAATTGCCGTCCGTGCCCCACCGCCGACGCCGCGGAAACTGCCGCGTGGGGTCGGCCCCTCGTCTCGAAGTTGACCGTCTCTCCGTTTGCCGCCTTGTCGCGCAGCACCTTTGGCTGCGCGTCGTGCGCCTTGCCCGCGGCCTCCTGCGCCTCCGCCAGGCCGCCCCGCGCGACCTCGAGCCTTTTGAACGCCGCTGCGGCCAGGTCTTGGATCTCGCGGGAATCCGCCAGTGCGACGCGCCCCATCGTCTTCGCCGTCTCGCGAAGGCCCTTGCCGCCGCCGCCCCCCTGGTCCGCCGCGTCCGCCTCGGAGCTCTTGGCGGGCAAAAGGCTGCGTCGCCGCGTCCTGCGCTGGAGCTGCCAACCGCGCTGGCGTGCCCTCCAGGGCCATGCTGCTTCTGTTCAGACGCGTAGTGCGTGTAGGGGGACGGCGCGGTAGCTCGACTCTCGGTAGATGCTAGACCAGATGGCTAGAGTGATGATCCAGGCCAGCGTGATCAACTCCACCTATTCTGCAACTCAGACTATCAGGAGGGACCGGACCGCGAAACTTCCGAGCCCCACCAGGAAGGCAATGGCCCCGAAGCAACGATCGAGAGGGATGGCGGCCAGCAGCCGCCCTAGAGCTAAAGGCGGTGTGACAGACGCGCATAGACTTGTAGGAGAGAGAAAGAGATAATGCGTGTCCAGCATGTCGAACATGGTGTCCAGCTCGTAGATGGTTCAATCAATCCCGCCTCGTTCGGAAACACACACGACTGAACATGGGGCCCCGTCTTCCTCCGCCCACTCGCACTTCCATTCTCGCGGGACCTCGGGAACAAAGGGGGCTGGTACTTCTGTCGGGGCTTGGAAACCTGGGGGGGGGGGGGATCGCCTCTCGAGTTTGGACCGACCGAGGGACCGAGAAATCGATCTCGATAAAGCCGGGCGCCAGCTCGGGGGCCCGCGAACCTGCAGGGGTACTCCGAGCTCTTCCATGACCAGGGCCGCCTCCCCAAGAACGCGCCAGACCTCCTGGAAACCCGCCTGAATTCGACGAGCCCAAAGAGACGCATGTTTTGTTGGGCGGTCCTGGGACGCAGGTTTGACACGGTCGAACTCCGGCGCTGACAAGCGGCCAAGCAGTGCGCGCAAGAGCTGCTTGTTGCTTTCAGGAAAGCGGGCCATCTGCTGGTGCCAGCTCAAGCACCGGACGAGCAACTCTATTGCACTCGGCACCAATTTCCAACGCTGCAGAACTTCTGAATAATACCATGTCGCAGTATGAGAACCTTCGCGTGAGATGCCTCGACCGTGGAGTGGTACTCGGCAAAGGCGTGCAAGGTGAGCGTCCAATTCTTTACGCTGCTGAGAGGCCACCACCATCGCCTCCAGTTCGCCAAGCAGCGCATTCTGAACGAGCCCAATGAGAGCAACTCTGGTCCACTTCCAATGACACTTCAGGGACCGGAAACCACCCGTGGAGTAGAAGCCTGCTGATGCTGCTTCCTTGCGCCTGGAGACCTCTGGGCCCGTGATGCCCGAGTGCGAAATGTGGGGCCCCAGATATCTAGTGCACTCGTGAACTTCTCCTCCTAGAGTGGGTGCGGCGCGTTGGCAGAGCCGCCTCTTGACCCTCGATTTCCCTGCTCCCGAGACATGAAAAAGGGTGACCTCCTTACTAGAGTCGGCTTCAAAACGCACCTCCTCCAACTCCTCCTCGAAGATCTGATCTGAATCCTCATCCATACCAAGAATTCTGAAATCTTCTGGATTCAAGACGCCGCCGTAAAGTTCCAGACGTCGTCGGCACAGGTAAACATGTTCAGGTTCGCCTTCATTTCCTTCCGTTCAGCTGTAAAGGCCCGAGCAGTGCGATGGGCCTGCCGATGCTTCCAAGGGGAGATAAGACGGCTGAGCGTGCCCCTGGAAAGAGTGATGACGCATGGGCCCCCCTGGTGCCACCTTCGCCTGGTTGGAACCACAAGGGGGCATCCTCTGCGGTGGGAAGGCGAATGCGAAACTCTCGATATCTTTGCATCACATGCGGAACGTCTAAATCATTTTCGTGTGCAAACCCACAGTAGCATCCAGCTCAGAGTAGCGGCCCAACGCGATAGCATTGCTCATGTCCTTCATGCTGGAAGAGAACGCGCGGTGCGATTGCTGGAGCCTCCGAGCCGCATCTTGAGCCGTCATGATGGCCCCCTCTCGCCGACGATGTCTGATAGATCCGGAAACCGTAGTCGGTGACATCCGCGGGCGCCTGCAAGATCTCGGAGTAGAAGCCCTTGCCCAAGGGGTCGAGAACGTGAGCCGCGCGCTTGCCCTTCACCCCTGGGGCCCTGCTCTTGCGCGCGCCGACCGCCGAGCTGCGGCGCCGGCGATTCGGGCTCCGAGCCGCCCGAAGAATAATGCGAAAGCCTCCCAGCACCGCCGCCGCGAAGCAAGACGTGCCAGGGATGCCCGCCTCATCTCCCGCCCCCCATCGCCCTTTGACAAGTCGCTTGTCAGTGTGGATGCAGAACGGCCGCAGCTCGACGGGCGGGGGCCGCTCATGAACAACATTGCGACGGCCAACTTTCTGAACCGCCCACGATACTCGCTCCATGTCATTGCGAGCGCGCCCCTCCATCTCCAGCGCCAGGTCGG